ACTGTGTAGCTGGTATATGTACATTAGTGTGATGATTATTATGTTATCCTCGTTAACTGCCATGAATACAATTAGCACTATATAGTTCTGTTTTGAGAGCAGATACTCAAACTGTTACTGTCCTGATAAATCTGGCCTTTCCCCTTCACTTAGAACATTTTAATAACTTGATCCTATAAAAATTCACCATTAATTCAAATATTTTAGATTAAAAACATCAACAGTTTTTCTTACGAAAATGAAGTAGCTACTTGCATATGGAAGTTAATCCAGATTTATAACAGGTATTATGTGCTATATAAGCCAACATGTTACACTACACAACTGTTACAGTATTTTGTATCTGACTTCAGTGATTACCTGCAGTGTAGCCTCTGTAATCAGAAATGGCTGGATATAAATTAAAGGGTCTATCCAACTTTGCAGGCAAATGATGGATACCAATTTGTAAGCTATTTAATATCCTTAGCCTTTAGAGAACTACAGAGACCTTATCAGTAGCCAAGATAAGTTATTTTTAACATATTTTGCAATTATTACTGTTTAATTATTGAATAAATTTACTCATTTATATTTAGAAGTCGCTCACTTATGAAATACAGACTGGCATAAATCTAATATTCTTCTGAGGTAGGTTTCTATAACAGATTGTTAACACACCCACTACAAAACCAACTACTACTACAAAAAATACACGATAAAGAATTCATAAAAGATGCAGAGTAAAAGCCTGTAGCAGTTCAACATATTTTTTGGTCAACCTGTCAGACACTGCGTTTATGTGTGTGTGTTTGCATACTTTTCCCTTATTACCTYGTAATTTCTTCACGACAGTATGATGTGTGATGTAGCATGTGTTGTATATAACTGAAAGTAGGGTTTTTAATATATTAGATTACCCCTGTAGTAATGTAATCCTTTAATAAAGCAACAGATGTTATTTTGACATGTTTGGATTTCATCATGTTTTAGTTCAGATTACTTCACATCAATCTGCCTCTAATTCAAACTCTGATATGCAACTGCTGTTCACATGTGAAGTGATTAAATATTGCAACATAAAAACCAAAACAATTTGCAGCTGAGGAAAAATACTAAATTTCTACACAGTCCAAGGAGGAACAACTTTTTGTGTAGTTTATATAAAATGCCCAAAATTTTCAAGCTTTATTCAATCTTTATCTTCCACAGGTTTGTCTACTGAATTCTGGAAAATATTTTAGATAAGAAATATTAAAGGCACCTACTGGCGCTAACACCTGGTCACAGTGCTCTTACAATTAGTAGCATTAAGGCTACTTCATGCTTTCCTTGAGGACAGAATGCAGAGAATTTCAGGTATCCATTGTGCAGATCTCAAGAATGAGGAATACAATTGCACTTCTGTAACTGGAGATACGGCTGCAGATACATCTTTCTGGTATACACTCACAAAAAGGCTTTAAACTCATGTCCAAGTTGACAGTCTTTTGTTAAAATAATCTATTTCTTARCCTTCCTACCTAAAAGATGAGTGATTTACCTAGATACTTATCCATGTAATTAAAAAACATAATGCACAGAAGTCTGTTCATTATTACCTGGAGATACCATATCTGAGAATAGAATTTAACAACTTTTTACGTAAAATTTGCATTCAATAATTTTAGACACAGAGCCTGGCACATCAAAACAAACATTAGGAATTTGGAACTTACACTGTGAAGTTGTTGGCAAGTATATTGTCAGAATCACAGATTTGCAAAATTTCACTATGATTAATTTTAATTCACATAACAGAACTCAGTTTGCACTAGGTCCACATACTACAGTAGATGACAATACTGTAAACTGTGAAAGGCCTTAGTTTTTCCCATTTCCCTAGTTATTTCCAAAGGTTTAAATGACACTACTTCATCATTCCCCAAACGTACAACTTTAGACATGCAGTCTAAAAATTCCATACAACACTTTCCTATCATTAGCAAAACCACATTAGGTGAGTTTATACAAGAGACAATTGCAGCACTGCCTAACAACTTCAATTCTCCTGTAAACCTCCATTTCAAGAAGTGCCATAGGAATAGAAATGCAACAGCAAACTCCTAGAAACTGAGGTTGCTCTTCTGAATTTATGAAATATCTCTACCTTTTTCAGAATAGTGAAGAAAATGCTGTCAAACTAATACATTATGTATCAGGAATGAAACAGTGGGGTGCCACCTGTAGCATTTAGACAAAAGGCTCTCCTAAGATTGCTGTTACCTCAGAAGACAACTAGTTGTTCTCTTCTATACAAGTTTCCTGATAATTCTTTCCTGAAACTGTTCTCTTATCATTCAAAGTTTTCAGAATTAGCCCCACTGTTATATTCCAAGGGGAAGAAAAGCAAACAGCACAAGCAATCTACAGATATAGGATCATACCCATCTTTCTTCTGTAATATACAGACACAACCTAAAAGATCACCAGTAGTGAAGACAAGAAAAAGCTGTAGCTAGCAATTACAATCATTAATTTTCAAAATAATGTGACTGCTATTTTTTCTTAAATCACACTGGCTAAATGGTTTCARCAGTCCACATCACATCTTTGCCAATCTCACAATCCCCTTCTCTCTCTCTCTCTTCTTAAAACTGAAAGACCTGTCTGAAAACAAACCAACTGCTGGATGTTTTAACAGTACTTTTAAACAGAGTATGGAATATATTAGTCTCTCATAGTTTGAGGTTATAAACGTACCAGTAGGTGTCTGCTGTATTCATCTGGTTACACAAAACATTCAACTCCACCTCTTAGAATGCAGGGAAAACCTGACTTCACAAGAACAGCAACACTGCCTAGTCTTGTAATCAGCAGGGAGAGGGTCTCTCATGTATGAAACCTGAGATTCAATCCTCCTGCATATGTTGTAAGTCTTGGGACTGGCTAAACAGCAGCATGAACTTCAGATTCAACTCTGTAACTCAGTAACATGCAGATTTTTTCCTTTCATTTTCATTACTCAAGTCTTTTATTAGGTTTGTAACACTCATAATAATTTCAGAGATATCTTATATCATATATAAAAGTGGCTTGAAGTGATGTAATAAATGGATAGCATTGAAACATTTCTTACACAAGGCTGTGAACCAATTCTGTAAACCGGAATACCTGGAAAACTTAACTGGCAGTTTTAATTTCCCATATATTCTCCAGCTCATTTCAAACAATCTCAGGCTTCCACAGATTAAATGACAACTGTTACCTCACAACTAACTTTCTTGCAGTGAGACAAGAGGCTCTACAGCACAAAACAGGATCCCCAAGAACCCTGCAAATCTTCACCCCTTGTCACTCTCATTCAGTTGTTTTATATTCATCAGTTACTCCTAAAATCATCTATTGGTCTATTTGTTCATTTAAACAGAATAAAGAAGCTGTTCTGTAAGTAATGCTGTCCTCTTTGAGAAGATGTTTATTCACTAAAACATGTCTGAATTCAATATTATCTTTTGATAAGCTAAACAATCACTCAAACCTGAAATTATTTACAAAGAAATTTCAGTAACTCATACCAAGTTTTCAATGCAGTTTTAAAAGTATGGCCATTAGGAATGGCTGTCAAATTTATTAAATAATAAATATTTTACATTAGCAGTGCAGACTTTTCTAAAGCAAGTTGAAGTTATACTGGGACTCATGCTACTTGACCTATTGTTAAGTGATCTGAAAATGGGAATGAACASTGGAACAAAAATCTGCTAATGATATTAACTAATTAAGAGGAGCAAAGAGAAAAGCAGACAGACAGGAACTGCAGAAGGATTTATGAGACAAACTGCTCTGACTGTAAAAGAAGATGAAAATCTACAGTGTTGTATACAAGGGGGAAAAAGAATCCTAACTTTCCATATAAAACCAAAAAAGCAAACTATGGTCAATAAAGGCATAATCTTTCAATTACTATGAGTTCATGTTTGCTACTTTGTTACTAAAAAGAATATTAGAAATTATTGAGAAGAGCGTAGAAAGCTTCATGAAGTAACTGTATAAAATGTAACCTCCATTTCTATCTTGAATTTTGAAGGCAGTGCACTTCATATGCACCCTCTTCCCCTAAAAAAAGGATAGAGGACTGAAACACTGCCCAGGCAAGTTGTCAGGGATGCCAAGTGGCATCGGTGTAACGCATGATCAACCAATCCAAGGAGTCYTCCTTTTACCTTCCTGAGGTAACCGAAAATTTACTGTGAAGCCAACAGAGACAATGACTGAAGTCCATAATGTCAGGGGTAGGCCTCAGAYTGCATAATGAACAAGGTTGGGTTTATCTAGTGAAGGTAAAAAATAATCATGTTCAATTCAAGCAAAAGAATGTGGAACTGGATGGAGCTGATGAAATCCTGCCATCTGGGTGCTGTGCACTCACTGAGTTCCAAGAGAGAGTGCAAGTGTTTGCGGAAGAAAAATCTACTGAGGCATTCGTGGTTACAAATAAAGAGACTGCAATTCTGACCCAAGAAGGCTAAGCAGAATTACTGAGCTCTTGTTTTACCCAGGGGCAGCAACCTAAAAACATTTATCCTTTTTAGCTCCAGTTTAGCATCTTACTAAATCACTAATAAAGCCAGAAAATAGTTCATTATATTGGAGCGCTTTCATTAACAGCAACCTTTGTGGAGAAATATTCCCAGGTGAAGTACTGGCAAAAAAAAMCAGTTCATCAAATGTCTACTTGTTGCATGTCACAAAAGAAAAGGAGACAATATCAAGATGGGACACTATTTTAACTGTAGGTCTCCCTTTTAATACATCTTYGTATTGAATTACACATGTATTTATTCACCTGAGAAAAAAACTCCTTCCAAAGGCATGCAACMTATGTAGAGCCTAAAAATCTCAACCTGAGCTAACTTTCTAAATAGAAAATGGAGTGAACCATATCTTCTGCATACAGTGCTCTTCAGGTGCACAATATGGTACATTAGCACTTGTCTGTCGGTGAGCTACAGATAAATAAGGTAAATATTCACACTCACCTAAATATGGAATTGTAGGAACCATTTTTAAGCTTCTGATGTACTCTCGTGTCCTTTTATAATTATCTTCCTTAGACAGTAAATAGTCTAACTTCTCAAAGGTGGTCTTGTCTTTCCGATTCAACAGCTACAGAGAAAATGGAGAGCAAAAAATTTTAAAAGACAAATCAACAGAAACCCAACAAGAATCAGTAACTTGTTGATTTATCAAAGAAAAGGAAAGCATAGTCAAGATTAAATTCATCATCATCATGCAAAGCAGCACAATGTTTGAAAACATGCTACCTGTTAAAAAAAAGGCAATTCAGCATAAGTCTGAAGCCATGGGAAAATATGACCATTATTTCTGACTAATTTGTCAAGGATTCTTGTATCACTACATCAGTTTTGAATAACCTTAGCAATATTAAATTTCTAGAGAAAAAGTAAGTTATAATAGAGTCACCAGCGTTTTCACAACTTAGTGGAGTTGTTAAAAATCCTAAGAATTTCAAAGTACAGCAGTAGAAAATGCTCTAAATAAATGCGAATTGTGCCATTTCAACAGTGCCTTATTAAAAGTATGACAAAACTTCTTGGAAAAAAGTATAAGGAAAGTAAATAATTGTGATATTAAATCCACATTTTCTATTTATTAGACTTACACATAAAATGAGAGGAACATTTAGCAATGAAAAAATCCTAGTGACGGGAGGCAGAAAAGTAAACATAAAATACACAACTGTAGCTACAAAAACACATTTCCCATTTCAGCTGATTTAGGAAACCTCAAGAATATTTTTAAGGTAGTTTTAAAAGCCAGGTGAATTGGAGTGAGTGGACAATTATGGCACTCTACACTGGCTCCTTCCATCTGTCCTTTCTGACAACAGACAGATGCTCCACAGCACATTCCTTCATACACCTTTTCCTCTGGAAAACCCCAGGTTTTATACCACTTAGCTTTTAAGTCTAGCTGTTAATAAAAAAAAAACAACATAAAAAGGATAAAAATGAAAATATTTCAGAATAATTTTGCTGTTTTCTCTTAATCAGCACTGAGAATCACCTGAGGCCCTGTTACTGCAACGTATTGTATTTTTGAACTACTGTGACTTCAAAGAGTCTGGCACCTCTYCAGGTGTCAGTCAATTTAGTCACATACTTCATTTCACACATGAGCAATTTTCCCTATTTAAGTTCCAGCTTCATCAAGCTCCTCAAAACATCAGACAATTATTTTTTTTTATTAGACTATAACTTTATTCTGAGCAATCAAATCATGRAAAAAAAGCATTCTGAAAGCTTGATAAACTTACGTAAGACTTAAGTATAGCCCATTTTTGCTTATACATTGTGAACAGTTAATGTGATCCATGGTGCCCGGAGTATTTAACTAATGAGAATTACCCAATCCCATGTAGAGTTAAAGATTACATAGAGCAGAAATAACCTATAATTTATATTTCTCTTTAAATAAATATTTAAATTTACTCTAAGTTTTGCTAAGAAATTCTGCCTTCCAGAGATGGAGTTTCTGAAAATAGAATGATCAATGGCTTTAATTTCTAAAAATTGAAATGCATGACACAATAAGTACAAAATTAATGCTTGTATATTTGTACCACGCTTTTCCCCTTCCTTTTAGGTAATGTTTTAAATGRTACACTAGGTGTTGGATAACGAGACACTGATTCTCTACAAGCGTCTTCTAAGATTAACTAYGAACGGAAGTCGTCTTGAGCACATAACCAGTGTCTCCTAGAACACAGAGGAAAACAGGGAATTTACAAGAAAATATCCAGCCAAAACTCTACTCTTCATAAAACATCTAACAGCAGACCACTACTTCTGCTACCACACTACCACAAAAACACAAACATAAAAGCATCTTTTTCCAGAGTTTACAATATGGCAGATTCCAAAGAACCTCTGAATTCAAACAAGACTGAGGGGACAACGGTCAAAGCAACACTTACAGCCCAAGTTTTGGTCAGCCTGAAGATAGGAGCGCTTTGTAGTGCTGACACCACAGACATCAGAGAATGAAGATTATTCAGTTCCAGAAGCTTCTGAAAAAAGGGAATAATAGCTTTTATCACAGCAGGATTAATTAATCTCAGAGTTGCATTACTAAACTATTTTTTTAATCAATAAAATACAAAGTTTTCAACTATGACTGCAAACAGCAATACTGTCCAATGCTGYCATGTGCAAGATTCTTAAGACCACTTTAAAACTAGCAAATTTTACACGTATACCCATCAATACAATCGGCATTTCAGTTTCGAGAATACAAACTGTACTTTATTTCAATTTGTTACTTTCTAAGGTAACATGTTTGTTTAGGAACTGAAAATAGGAAAAACTATTTGATACATTGCTCTTGAAAATTCACGTGATTTTGGAAATGAAAGATTTAATCAAGCAAAAACATTACATAAAGATTCTGACAACCCTCTCAGAATTAACACAATTTTTAATTTTGTAATCTCTTTTACATGAAAAATTTACCTCACTTCAACATACTTKAAATTTACTCAGTGTTGACAATTACTCAAAATACCTGATCTCAGGCAGACCATACTTTGGAATAAAGGTGTCTTATGATGATAATGCTTACTACAACAAACATAAAAATATAAAATAGATGAAAATTGCTGTCATGTAGCTTCCTTGTAAAGCTTAAAAAGAGGCTGGATTCATCCTTGAGTGATCCATTTACTCACTGCTCAGAAGCATTTGAGGAAGATATGGAATTTATGGAGGGAAAAGAAGGAAGAGTAAAAAAGCAAAGAGAAGGAAAGAGGGCAGTGYTCCCACTTCTGCAGGGGAAAGCTAAAAACGCCCCAAACACCACAACTCTTAGAAACAAGAACAACCTAGGACCTCCAAGTTGAACATTCTCCTATTAACTGGACTATTTAGTTGTGCCAGTAAGTTACCCAGATAAATTTTCTTCTATAAGTACAAAGCTGCTAAGTAAACTGATTAGAAATATGCACAATAAAAAAATTGTTTTGTTTTACATGGAAATTTTTATTTTTATTACCTACACACACACACACACACACACACACACACACACACACAATTCCACACATATAAAATCAGCACTTGGGACTTTGACTCAAGTGCTGTGTCACTCAGGGTCATATAAAACAGAATGACCATAGGTTGTGAAAGAGATAAACATTGGTAATTTTTTTCCAGTTATGAGTAAAATGCAGTACTCAAACTCATTAAAATACCTGAGCTTTAACAGCAGCGCTTTATACTAGTAACTACATGTTGCAAGCAGGAAAACAAGTCTCACAATAGCTATTTTAGAAGCAAGAAATCAATTTCAAGAAATTAATTTTCATAGAAGTTTGAAAATAGTGGGAGAAAAAGAACAGTTTGCAACCACATTTGATATTGTCAGCACACAACTGGCCATCAACAACCCAAACCACTTTTAAACTTGGTAGGCAGAGGTCTAAGTCACACTGAACTGGGTAATTTCATCCAACCAAGTAGAAAAGAACAGTTCTCATGCCTTTATCTTATTCATGTAGCAAAAGGTAAGAGATAAGCTAGAACAGAACTTTACCCTCTGCAATCTGACAATGGTTCRTAGGAGTAGTACAGAAACAAACAAGAAAAAATTAAGGTTTTGAATGATAGTGTAAGAAATTTGCACTTACTTTAGCTATTTTCACAAAGTGGCTCAGTATTTCTGCCCTTATTTTTAAGGTCTGCGCTGTTAATATTTCTCGTACAACCCAAAAACTGACCTATAAAGCAAATGCATGTAACTTAACTTATTACCAAAACACAGACTTTATTAGATGACATATTTGCAAACTGTCACAAGGCTCCAGGAAGAAAACAGTGTAAGGAAAGGAAAGAGTTCTGATCCCATGAATTCTTGTCTGAATCGCTGCAATTACCCTGAAGCATCAGCACCGTAAGAGGCAGGGAAGTGAGCCAACATCAAGATAACCAAATAAGCAAGTGAAACACAGAACAAAAAAGGAACAACATTGCTGATGTTGCACCATAGCAAAACATATTATGAACTAGTAATAAGGAACAAATGGTCTAGAGAAACAACATGAAAATGTGGACAAAGCAATGGAAAATGGGCTGTCTTTGAAAAGTCAYTATACTCATTTGGAAAAATAGATTTTAATTCATGAGTAATTCCACTTAACTTTATACTCAAAGACAACCATCAAACAATATTTGTCCATGACAGTAATCAAATTATTTACCTGGTTAAACCTCCTAGTAAAGGCAACAATATTTGGAGCAAGGGTGTGTTTTTCTTTCTTATTCCATCCACAGCTGGCTAGTTCCTAGGAAACACATTTTAAAATTGCCTTAAAAAAACAGAAATGAGTTCTCCTTATCACTCGTTCTAAATGGCTCTTCTGTTTCTACAACCACAAGTCTCAGTTTCAATCAAAATGTTCAACTTTCCAAGTGTACACTACTAACTTCAGACATCTTGACACATGAAAAGGAAGAGTCAGCCAAAGAGAATTCTGCCTCTGAAAAGCATTTTGTAATTCTAATAAATGGAACACACTCTAGAGAATCTGCACATGCCTGTGTGAGCAGCGGGAAAAGCCCTTCCAGGTCCAAACTTACTTTGAATCTTCAGCACTTATGCCTTCTGCAGATAAAAATGCCAATTTGCATCTGTCAGGACACAGATTCTCCACATGGACAGCCTATGTCTGATCTGGTGATACTGGAAATCATATGTTTACGTGAAAATAATCTCAGACACTCTACTAGGGACAGCAAAATTTACCTTTGTCAGAAAAGCAGAAGGTCAGTAAGGTAAGGATATTAAGCAGTTGCCAGAGGGCTAGTAACAATGAAAAATCCTGTGTAAGGCAAAATAATTTTACTAACCTTAAAATGYAGACTGAATAGGAAGATTGATAAAAGTGAGTAATTCAAAATGTCCCTGCTGATTTTTTTATATTGCTAAAATATAATGTGTTCTAGAATTACACTTCACCTTTTTTTTTTTTTTCATGGAAGGATGCTGGCAGTTCCCTTAACCTGCACAGTCACAAGAAACTTTCCCATCAATTGTGCAAAACCCTGAAATTTGTGGAGATTACAATTTCAGGACTTGGAAAGTAATCTTAATAAAGTTATGTAGAAATGCAGAATGCAAGTATAATTATTTCTGCTGGAGAACAAAGATTAGTTAACTAGACTTCCACTTACTAAAGGCTGCAAAGTGACATGCAGATATGTTTTTTTAATAATAGCTGTTGAAAAGCAGGAAAAAGCCTCAGCAAGTGCCATGTTTAAAGGATGTTTGTGTGTTTGAGATGAGACTTAGCAATCAAAACTCTAAAATCTTACATATTTCCATCCATGCATAAAATCACGTTAAAAGACCAAAATTCAACCAGAAAACGTTAAACCTTCATAGTCTAGTAACTCATCTAATAACAAATACACAGACTATTTCTTGCTTTAAAACCTAGTCCTACAGTTGTCAGAATTTCAGGACAGAAACAGCTGTTTATTTCTGGCAACAAACTATATTGGTGATTCCAATAAAATGAAAATCAGAAAGAAAATTAACTAATAGTTCATGGTAACTGCTACTTATTCAAAGACCTAAATTCTAGCAGAAGCTGAAAACACATAAAGTTTTTTTTCCTGATCATTCCTCACTGTGTTAATCTATTTGCCAGAGTAGCACTTCAAGAAATTTCATTTCCAAAAGGCAAAAGGAAGCAATGACAAAGAAGAACAGCAAATCAATTCTTTTGGGGTTTTATTTGGCGATAAAATCCTATGGCAAAGGTTTCATAGCAACTAAAGTAAATGCAAAATAGGCTTTAAATATGAATATCTACAGTCTTGTGTTTTATTTTTTTGTTCGTTCATCTCCTCAGAGTATCACATTACTTTGCTTTTGGCAAAGTTAGTTAGAATTAAAAAAATCCTCTGGTTTGCTCTGATATTTGTTTAAACAAAACTTCCTGGTGAAAAAGTAACTATGTATCAATTTGTACTTACTGAAATGTTTTTGTTACTAGATTTTTCTATGGGCATTCCTAATTTCTTATTGCACTGYTCATTTGCCATTTTTTTTTCCCCGCAGGAAAGAAGTCTCCCCCAGCCACCTGGAGAACACACGTAATTTCAGAAGCATGAAAGTGTTTTCAGCTACAAAACTATCTTGATGTTCTTGGGGGGAAAAAGAAAAATTATCTGACAGGAAGGACAGACAACGGAGAGTACAGGAAGGAAATTAAAAATTTATCTTTCTGAAAATAGTAGTCCGCTAATCTCTCTGAACCACTGTAATAAACGATGACTTACTTTGTTAGTGACCAAATTAGATGGATAAAGCTTACACTAAAAACTTTCTAARCCTGACTGCCCCGTTGATACTGTCAGAAATTCAGTTCTGCTGACATTATGGGGGAGCAGGGGTCTGCCCTTTATATATTCACGATATTCCAGCCTTATATCCATTATTTCTTGTTGTCTTGTCCTAAATATATTTTTGTATATTATAATACCTGAAGCAGGAATCACATGATTCTTGCACCTTCGCAGTAAATAAATTTATTTTATCATATTTTTATGCAGATTTGTCATACTCTGATAACTACTTTTGTTCTCAATTTCTCAAGTTCCTATCACTGATTTTCAAGTGTCTATGTTAACTTTGATTGCATTTCCTCAACAGGCCTCGAGTTCACTTTGGTGTCTTTCTTAAAAGGTTAAAATCTCAAAAGACACTAATACACTAACTTTTAAGGGTTTGGGCTGATTTATTCCCAGCATTTATTATTCTGATTCTTACAAATGATCATACAATTAAAAAGCTCATCAAGCAGATAATGCAGCCTAAAATACAGATTATGGCCAGAGGTGTGAGTCAAACTCTGAAATCAGATACTAACTGAAAAACAGCAGCACAAGGGAGAATAGAGGGGTTTTTTTATGCTTGATAAACTTATCCTGAAGAAATGCTCAACTMAAAGTACAACAAGAAGACTTCCAGAAAACCACAATCATCTCCTTTGGCAAGAGACGACAAATCAAAGAAACTCATGCTGGATTACAGATTCAACAAGGAATATGCCTAGAAAAATATGAGTGCAGTGCAAGAAGGTGAGCATTTTTGAACAAAAAAGCATTATGTAAATCGGCACATTTCCTCAGGCACTGAATTCCAAAGATGTAAGCATTTGGTTTAAAAACACCTACCTCAGGCTGTATAGCTTTAAATACTGGCATGTCCATCAGGGTTATCTGGCTCTGCAATGAAGACAGAATTTTACATCATGAAATAGGAAGAGCAAACAATGACRTTTTTCCATCTGCCCTTCAGTAACTATAAACCACACACATATTGCTCACAGATAGAACTAAGCAGCTCTGCCTTGGCCGTGCCTGTCCAGGCTGACACCCC